GGATATTAAATGGATCTTACATGCTTTATATAGGTTAAATTAAGTAGTTATATGTGTTGAAATTAAACTAAAATTGTTCTGGAAAGTTTGGGTCAGTGGTTGATTTGTAAGCATGTTTGAATCGGTAATAGTTTATATGTTTCTTTTGAATGCAAACTGTTTTAAATAAATAACTGGAATGATGTAAGATGAAATTTAGACCCTTAGGTTTAGTTTTAATAAAGAACAGAGGAGGTGGAAGCGGCCGGAGACGGTGCAGAAGGCTGTAGAAGTGGCAGAAACGCAGACGGTTCTCAGAGAGGGAGAGAGCCGGCTCCATGGAAGAGGGAGCTGGCTCCCCCCAAGAGTGGAGCCGCCTCTAGGGAAAGTGGAGCAGGCTCCACCCTTCTAGAGCCGGCTCCAATAAATATTGGAGCCTGCTCCATCATTTTTAGGAGCCTGCTCAACTAGTTTAAGAGCAGACTCCCATTTTATGCGTGAAATCTGATGGTTTGGGCACTGTTTGGAACTTTAAATTGTCGCAAGGCCTGAAATAAAATTTTTAAGAGTAATTTCAAGGGGTTTTAAACTCTCTAATTGGGAAATTTGGTTTATAGAGCAATTAGAATAAACAGTGTAAAAATAAGCAACTTTGCACGCTGCAAACGAATAGGAAGGACTAATTTGCTAAATCTTGTTTTAAAAATTTAACGGATTGTAGTATAGACTCCAAAAATTATAATGGGTTGTTTTAGAGCCTAATATGCATAATTAGTGTCCTTGTGCTCATGGATTTAGCCGTAGAGAAGTATACAACGGTGTAGGCTGCTAACGGATGAAGGGGGTTTAATTGCCTAAATTAGTTTTAGCAATTTAACGGAATATGTATATATTTATAAATCATGTTGGGGTGGCATGCTAGGATCATTTAATTAACAAGTTTGATCTAGGCATATCCTGGATGTTAATTGTTGAAATACTAAATATTTTTCTGGAATGCATGGACTTAAGCTTGTAATCTTAATTGCGGTAACATTAAGCATTTCACTGCAATTACTTGGATTAGGGTTTGGACTAAAATTGCTGAACTAGTACTTAGATTCTGTCAATCTAATTGGATGTTGGCCTGGAATTAATTGAAAAATTAAATATATATTTTTTGTCAATTACATGGATGAATGCTGGAATTTAACTTGACGAATTAGTAAACTTTGTCTCGTTTGATTACATGGATGGATTTTGGATTTGTAGTTGATAACTTGTTTAAATTCTGTGTTTATCAACTATATGGATAATGTGGACTTTATTTGATGTACTGCTTATAATGTTGCATCATTTACGGATTATTTGCATATATGCACTGGTATGGGACGGTGGCATACGGAGGGATGGATTAGGTCACAACGCTAATTCCTACCCATTCATACATACGGAAAGGATTAACTAAAAACAGTTAAATCCTACATGGTTTCATGTCCTGCCAACTAAAACAGTTGAACGACATGCTGGATGGTTGTTTATATTTCTGCGTTAGGATGAATAGGGTTTTAACTAAAACATTTAAATCCTAATTTTATGTCGTGTCATGGCAATGAATCAGTTGAGCGGCACTACATTGGTTTGGATGGGAATTTATATATATAAATTATGGTACCGAGATTTGAGCTTGAGTCTCATAATCGACGGTTAGGGTGCGTATATGCAGTAGGATGCGTAGCTAGCTATGTTGGTTGAGATATACCCTGTTAGGCTTAGGTAGTCATGCCCACTCAGGTGCGTATTGCATGTTACCTTCTATTCAGGTTGAGACCCTCAGCATAGTTAGTGAGAGTCCTGTAGTGTGGATATATATTTATCTATTACAGACTATATAGATATGATTGAGATGTCTAGGATGTATCTGCGTATCGGGTCTCTGTTTGGATTGTAGTTAGGATAGAACTTGTTCATGGGCCTGACCCACTATTATTTTTCAGGTAACGGATGGTTCCATTAGAGCTTGTTCGTGCTGAGCAGAGACGTCTACTCATTCTACCGACGATGTAGGAGGTTCTTCATGGTTTAGCAGGGGACTTCTTTTTAGTTGTTCGCTTTCTAGTATTGGCTTTTGATTAGGGGTCCACCAGATGGATTCTCGAGTTGTATTATAATTGGAAAAGTTGGTTGTAACAGACTAGTTCTTATTTATAAGATTTATTCTGAAGTTTTTAATAAAGGATTTTCATTTAGTTTCTTTCCAGTGAATTTTATTTACTCATGTTTATCTTAATTATATTCTGTGTTCGATTATTGCTAATTGATTTGATATCCTCGGGTTATCGGGCGTGGGCCTGGCCAACTCGCATCCGGAAATCCGGGGGTATCACAGTAGTTTTCCAAGACTATCAGATAAGATTGAGCAAATGATAATGAAATAATATGCTTCGGCATGTGGGATTCTCATATATGCCATGGTCTATACCAAACAGGACATTCGCTACATAGTAGGGATAGTAAGTGGATATCAGTTCAATCCCGGACTTGACAACTGGTTTGTTGTGAAAAATATCATAAAGTACTTTAGGAGAACCAATAATCTCATACTCATTTATGGATGTGATGATATGGTCTTAGTCAGGTATGTTGATTCTGATTTTAAATCAGATGTAAATACTATGAGGTTCTTAACTTGGTGTATGTTCACTCAATGGAAGGAAAATCAGTTGGTAGAGTGATAAGCAGTTTTCAACTGCTTACTCAAACCTGAAGGTGGAGTACATTGCAGCCTTAAAGGCAGCAAAGAAAACCTTTTGGTTTGATCTTACTGATTTAGGGTTGTGGAGCATACTAGCTTGCCTATTAAGCTATATTGCGATAATAGTGCAAAAGTAGCCCAAACCAATGACCCAAGGCTCCATAGAGGAACAATGTACATTGAGAGGAAGTATCATGTCTTACATGATATTGTCCGGCAAGAATATGTACTCATGGCTAGAACATTGCATTGGAACACAGCTTTACTGATCCATTAACAAATGTGTCATCGATCAATAGTTTTGATCATCACATGGATAACATTGGAGTTAGATGCAATTTGAATTGGCTATGAGGGCAAGTGGGAGCTGTTGGGATTTATATGCCCTGACATAGCGAATTCTTATTTGGATTATAGTGACATATGTTTCTGACATATTTGAAATATTTATGATTTATATAATTGGTGAATTCAATGTATTATGTTTCGATTCATTATGGAATTGATAGTGTCCACTTGATTACAAGAGATATTTATATATATATGTGATAGCGATCAATACATGAATATAAATAGTAATCATAAATAGTTCATAGTCGGTAATTATGGATGGACTTATTATTAACTAATACTTGAACTGGATCTGCGTTAGGTTGAGATATATTGCGAGAGCCGTCGTATGCAATTGCTCCCTATCACCGTCATAGCATTTGACTCTTAAGTATGAGAGAAATATAGACTATTTTATTAATTAGTAATTACTTTGATTTGTTCGGCGGAATCTTCGGAATCCTTAGACCGACACTTTGGGTAATTATGTAATTAATAGTTAGAGGGTTATATTTTCAATATTTGCATCATTGCTACTTGCATTTTTTTTGTATTGATTATGGTTGATCACAAAGTAAATTCGAAGGCCTTCGTGTATTTTTAGAAACAAATGTTTTATTGTGATCAAGCAAGAAATAATTAGAGGTACCAAAATAAACATATTAATTAAGTAGTCAGATTGGTGGCTTTATTTATTCGATAATTAATTATGAATAGAGGGGTCAAAGTGCAACATTGACTTAGAAGTTATTTATTATTTAATTGGATTTCAATTAATTTCTTTTAGTGGAGTAGAAATTAATTATTGAATTAATTGAATTGGGTCCATGGATCGGGCCAATTATTAATTCATTGTAGTCAATAAAATAATAAACCCAAAGGATTCTCACTCATAACCCAATTTGATATTGGAATCCTATTAAATTTGAGGCATGTGAATTAGAGATTGAGAATGATTTATTGTTTCATTTTCTTATCTTTATGTTGCCTATATATACATGATCCATGTATATTTTAGGAGAGACTTTTGGAAGAAAAAAAAGAATATATTTTCTCTCTCTAGATTTTTAGGATTAATGTTCTCATCTAATGGATACTCCCACAAACCTAGTTTTCCAAGGCCATTCATGGAGGCTTATGGGTGAATTCTAAAGATAAGAGTATTACCAAAAAGATGGAGATTCAAGGAGAAGGTATCTTGTTAAGGGATTTACAATAAGTGACAACATTCACTTTAGAGGAAAGATTTAAAGATTTACTCAAATCTTTGATATAAGTAGTCAACCTATTAATTGAATAATACATTATATTTTATTTTTGCATAAAACTTGTCTCTATATGATGAATCAAGATCTATACATGAAAATTTGTTAAAAAGTTTTTAAAACTTGTACGTTTTCCAACACTATTAAACTATTAAGCAATTCTAATCTCTCCCTCAACACTATGGATACCTGCAAAGTGATGGTTGGTACTTAAATTACATAATTCTTTTAAACATGTGTCTATCACACGCTCCACACGCTTTTCCACAGGCTTTTGTTCATGCTCAGTGTGATGTAAGGGTGAGACAGAGACAAAGCTAGGAGTAAACAAGTGAGGCGTCGTAAAGGATATTCGGTGTGTGCACCCCACAATCAGATTGTGCACGGACCACTCAGAAGTTAAGATTCAGAGGAGCAACTACTCCTAAAGAGGAGTTTAGCATATTAAAGTAAGATTCACCGAATTACATTGTCAAGCCCAATAGGCCCATAAGACAAACAAGTTTTTGACATATTTCTCAGCCTGTTTGGATCTATGAGGCCATTCTCTGGTCCTACTAAACCAATTCTCTTTACAAAATTGGCCCAATCTGCGTCCATCCAAAACTCCAGAACCTCCTCGAACTTCCCTCCAGGGCAGCCCGAGATTTCAATCTGACGGCCAAAAATGCTGCCCGTTTGACCTAAACCGGACAGAAAGAAATGCTCCTTTCTTCTAGTATGATCACCTAACTTCTCCTCTCTGTTCCAACCCCCTCTCTATCTTCTTCCCATCCTCGAAACAGCAGACCTCAAAATTCCACTACTCAACTATCAACTTTCTAGGTCTAGGACTAGGGTTTCATACTAAAAAAATTCTCTCTTTCTGAAATTAACTGATTCATTTTCTAGGGTTTGGGTTTGGAAATTTTGATAGAAGAAAATGGCCTCTTCAACGGCTCAGATTCACGTTCTCGGAGGCATTCCTTTTGCATCGTCTTCCAAGCGTTCGAATGGTAAATGTTCAAGAACAGTCTTCTTCGGACAGAGACTGAACAGTGCGACACCGTTTGGTCTACCCAAGTCATCGTTCTTGAGGCTGAACCAGAGTCATAGTGCAAGGAGAGTTGGGCCCCTCAGGGTAGTGGCGGAGAAGGTGGTGGGGATTGACCTGGGGACGACGAACTCGGCTGTGGCGGCGATGGAGGGAGGGAAGCCGACGATTGTGACCAACATCGAGGGGCAGCGGACGACGCCGTCGGTGGTGGCGTACACGAAGAACGGTGACCGGCTTGTAGGGCAGATAGCGAAACGGCAGGCGGTGGTAAATCCGGAGAACACCTTCTTTTCCGTGAAGAGATTTATTGGGAGGAAGATGTCCGAGGTGGATGAGGAGTCCAAGCAGGTCTCTTACCGGGTTGTTCGCGACGAGAACGGCAATGTCAAGCTCGACTGCCCCGCCATTGGCAAGCAGTTCGCTGCCGAAGAAATTTCGGCTCAGGTAATCAATTATTTCCTTCAATGGGTGTTGCTTTAATTGGCGTGCATGCATGTGTGTGTATCTCTATGTCTGTGTAGTGTGTATGTGTATTGTCATGTGAGAAAATTTGTATTCAATTGTGTTTTTGATGTAATTTCAGTTATACTGGTTAAAATGGTTCCAAATCTATTATATGATTTATAAGCATGTCTGTACTATTCTATGGTTAACTCACATTGAAAGAAGACACAGAATGTGAATTTAGTGTGGTTTAATGTTTAATATGTGGAGAGAAGGTTATGATATCATTGTGGATGCAAATGTCTCTTGTAGGATTTATGGGCAGTGTTTCAGGTGGTTCTGAATAACTTGGGGTTCTTTAAATTAACATGATTAGTTTGGATTTCATATGTCAATGAAAAAGTGAATGATAAGTGCCATTTAATGTTATTTCACCAAGCAATCTTTTTTCCTCAGCAGGCGTTTTATAACAAACCAAAAAATCAAGAAAAGGGAGGCAAAATCAAGCCTCACTAATACAACATAATTAAGAAAGCCCATTTCCAGAAGTTGGCATTCAAAAATAAGAAAGAAAAAAAAAAAAAAAAAAAACCTGTAAAATGATTAGCAGAACAAAATGATAACACAAAAAACTCCCCTGCAGGACAACTCCTCCTGCAACTATAGATATCACCAAACCAGAATTCAAATGATGAACAGTCCCATCAATTCCTGCAGCTGAATGCCCAAGAAAAGCTGTGGACGATGCATTAATTAGTAAATGTTGTGGTTTTCTAGGATTTGGTTCTCTTCTTCAAATGGTCTGTAAATAACATCTACTACTTTCTGATATAGGTTTTGAGAAAGCTTGTGGACGATGCTTCAAAATTTTTGAATGACAAAGTTACTAAGGCTGTGGTCACTGTGCCTGCTTACTTCAATGATTCTCAAAGGACAGCAACGAAGGATGCTGGCCGTATTGCTGGCCTAGAAGTTCTACGGATAATCAATGAACCCACTGCTGCTTCATTGGCATATGGTTTTGAAAAGAAGAACAACGAAACCATTCTGGTTTTTGACCTTGGAGGTGGTACTTTTGATGTTTCAGGTATGAGTGCAGGACATCTTTGTGATGTTTTGTTTCTTTCTACTGAAATGTCTTTGTAAATCCTGTAATTTTTTTGTCTGGTGTCATATTTGACAAATTTATCTCCATTAATCAAATTGGTATACCTCATTGAGGTTTGGGGTTTTTTCCTCTCCAAAGGGTTAGTTTTGGTTCACTTACCTGATTTATACAATTCTGTGTGTGTGATCTTTTTAATGTTCATTTTCTCAAAATTTGAAATTGATGCTATTCTTATCGCGTGCTTAATTTGGATTATGATAATGTTTTCAGTATGTATATTCTGGTTATTACTCTGTTTTTCTTTCTGTCATAGAATCATATGAATTAGAATGCATGGTCTGCTGAGCACAGTTTCAGCAACTTATGTTGCCTTGCTTGGTTATTAAAATAGTTTCTGGTCCTGCAGTTGGTAAAAGCAGTCAACACTTTCTATCATAGTTTATGTCCCACCGATAAATCTATCTTTTAATTGCTTCTTTGATAGGCAATTATCTTGTTTCCCCCCTTTCTAATTTTAGGAAAATAATTTTTTTATTTTTATTTATATTTATTTTTTATTAGAAGTTTCAACTCTTGGACCCCACAGAACCTTCCTCCACCCCCCAATTTTACTTTTAATTTTATTTTTCCTTAATTATATACATGTTCTCTTGCCCCATGTTATCTCTGACCTTGTTAGTGGCCTTATTCTTGCATTTGACAGATTTATCACTATCACATGAAGAGTTATAGGAATGATTGCTTTTTATGCATTGTCTCTATAGCAACTGAAAATTATCCTGCTGCAGTGTTGCTACTTTTAAGAGAGTGAGAAGCTAATTTATATTAACATAACCTTGTATTGTTTCTTATATGCTCGCTGTCGTATTGTACAATTAAATCCAAAGTAACAAAATTAGAGATCTATCTTGTTCTGAAGTTCAATTTTGTGTCATCGCAATTATATTTTAGTGTCTGATGTTGGTCCTTTCTTCTGATGTTGGTCCTTTCATTTTTGAAAGGAATTGCCTAGAAACTTTGCATTCACTATCTTTGTTTTGTTTTTTCCTTCATCGCAGTTCTTGAGGTCGGTGATGGAGTGTTCGAGGTACTTTCTACTTCTGGTGATACACATTTGGGTGGTGACGATTTTGATAAGGTTGGTATCTTTTGTCTCTCTCTCCCATGTTACTTCATTCTATGTGTGGTCTTTTAATGCTGAAGAGAATGTTATGTCTCATACTCTCCATGCAGAGAATTGTAGATTGGCTTGCTGCAGAGTTTAAGAGATATGAAGGCATAGATCTTTTGAAGGACAAACAAGCACTGCAGCGTCTCACCGAGACAGCAGAGAAAGCAAAAATGGACTTGTCATCTTTGACACAAACGAATATTAGGTATATGCATAGCTTAGTGCTTCAAGTTGGGGTGTTCCTTTGTGTGTGTGTAACGTGTGTTATGTATTTATCCTCCTAGTTTATTGATAAATAATTAGTAATTTTCTGTACATCCAGTTTGCCTTTCATTACAGCTACTGCAGATGGGCCCAAACACATAGAAACTTCCCTTACAAGGGCACAATTTGAGGAATTATGTTCTGATCTACTTGACAGGTACCTCATACTACTTTTATCAAGTTCTTTTAAGATTCACAAGTGCATATGATGTAACTGCATGATGCTAGAAAGTGCTTCTCAACATGTGCTCCCTCTGTTTTGTGTTGAGAACTTAGGTGGTTTTCTGAAGCTGGGTGAAGGCACTTGTATTCTAAATTTTATGTTATTTTTTCTAGGCTTAAAACCCCAGTTGAAAATGCCTTGAGGGATGGAAAACTCTCTTTCAAAGATCTAGATGAAGTCATCCTTGTTGGCGGATCAACACGTATTCCAGCTGTTCAGGAGCTTGTTAAGAAACTGACTGGAAAGGATCCCAATGTGACAGTCAATCCGGATGAAGTTGTTGCCCTTGGAGCTGCAGTTCAGGTGAATCTTTCTCCTGTTACTGCTGTATCATATTTTTTACATTATTTGTAAAATCCTTTAAGGGTGACAAAACCCTTTGATGGAAGACTATGGTAACTGGGTGTTCAAGAATCATTTATGGTTACTTTTTTGGTATATTTTCTTTGGTGTCAACTCTTATTCAAGCAGTTGGTGTTAAACTAGACATCTTATTTGCTGCTGTTCATTTTCTTTTAGGCTGGTGTTTTGTCTGGAGATGTCAGTGACATTGTCCTTTTGGATGTGTCACCTTTATCTCTGGGTCTAGAAACTCTTGGTGGTGTTATGACAAAAATTATACCAAGAAACACTACTTTGCCCACCTCAAAATCAGAGGTATTTTCAACTGCTGCTGATGGACAGACTAGTGTGGAGATTAATGTCCTTCAAGGCGAGAGAGAGTTTGTCAGGGACAACAAATCTCTTGGTAGCTTCCGTCTGGATGGAATCCCGCCTGCGCCTCGTGGAGTTCCTCAAATTGAAGTCAAATTTGACATTGATGCAAATGGCATTCTCTCAGTCTCTGCTGTTGATAAAGGCACCGGGAAGAAGCAAGATATCACCATTACTGGTGCTAGTACCTTGCCTAGTGATGAGGTATGTTCTCCTAAACAATACTTTATTAGACATATGATGCATGCAGCGCTACATTTGCAAGTAGTTTATGGGCTTTTGGCTCATAATGGGTTACTCTTGAGCTTTTGGTCTCTGTGATTGTTGAGGCATAACGTAAAAGCTTTCATAAAACTTCATATTTGCAATACTTCCAAACCATTTACTCCTATTTAATAGAATTTTGTTAGGAAGCAAACTAATAACTTGAATATATGCAGGTAGAGAAGATGGTTAAAGAAGCTGATAAGTTTGCAAAGGAAGACAAGGAAAAGAGAGATGCCATCGACACAAAGAACCAGGCAGATTCTGTTGTGTACCAGACGGAGAAGCAACTGAAGGAACTGGGAGACAAGGTACCAGGCCCAGTAAAAGAGAAGGTTGAGGCAAAACTCGAAGAGCTCAAGGAAGGAATCTCTAGGGGCTCGACGCAGGCCATAAAGGATGCCATGGCTGCCTTAAATCAGGAGGTTATGCAGCTTGGCCAATCCCTCTATAACCAGCCAGGTGCTGCACCTGGTGCTGGCCCTACACCTGGCAGTGGGGCTGGGCCTTCAGATTCGGCCGGCAAGGGACCTGAAGGAGACGTCATTGATGCAGATTTCACCGACAGCAAATGATGATACAAGAGCAGTAGATTAAGACAGTGTAAGCTGATTATTCCTCTTTTGGTTTTTTTATCTTTTCTTCTGGATGTGCATACAGGGACAATGATGTGAAGAGTTTGGCTTGATTTTAGGGGGTTGTTTTTTTGGTCAGGGAAAAAAGGTTGATTAGGTTTCTCGGAAGTGTGAATGTCTTGATGTAACCCATAATAGTGAATAACTTTTGTTCCAAGTTCCAATTGTATTTGTTAAGACGTTGGATGCACATAAATGAGTGGACAATTGAAAAAAGGGAATGTGTGGAAAAATTAATTATTAGTCAAAATTCAAAAAATGTGTAAATGAGACTAATAAAGAAATAAGATTATGGTATCAAACAGGGACTAAACGAGACCAATGGATGGATTAGGAAAAAAAAATAATAATGAGACAGTAATGCCCCTCTCAAGTACAAAAAAGTACAAGCAGCAAAATTCAAATAACTAGGAGTAAAAGGTAAATAATGTTGCACTGCTCATTGTTAATTTTGATTGTTACGTTGTCGGGATTATTTCCTCCCCCTTCCCCCTATCAGTTGAAGACATGGTGAGAACTAACTTTGAGTTCTCTCATCGCACCCTATATATATATATATATATAAATAAAAGTGTCAATTGAAGACGTAGTGATAAGCTCTCTACTTTGTTAAAGAGTCAGATAAATATATTCCCAATCATAATAACAATTGAGTAATACATTATAACAAGTACTTATCATAATTAAATTAATTTTTAATTTATTTGGTAACAATTTTTTTAAATACTTCTATTGGTGATTTTTTAATAATATTAAGGAATGGATGTAATTGTTTTTATAAAAAATAAAATATACAAAATTGTCTAAGAAAAAAGAGTTATCTAAAATATTCAATCTCTATTCAGAATGCATTTTTATAAGCTCAAAATTTTAGTTTTATTTAAATAATCTACTGAATTAAATTTGATAACTATTAAAAGCTCTTATAATGACTAACAAACACATCTAAACGTAATAAAATTTCTATAATTGTCTCACAAATCATTTTAAAACTTTGCTTATGGATGGACTCGTTTACTAACGTTTTCACTTTTACTTTCTCAAAAAGTAAAATCATGATTTTCATTTCTGAAGTTGAAATATAAAGTAGAATTATGTTTATTAATTTTGTATGCTTTCAATATTTTCAAAACAAGAAATTAAAAAGCAAGTTTAATAATTATAATTTTGATTTTGTTTTCTAAATTGATAATCACTGTTCTATACTCTCTGTATATAATATATATATATATGCAGCATTGATGATATATATATATATATATCATCAATGCTGCACTTCCGCTCTCCAATCTCGCCTCAACTTGCCCTCTCTCTCTCTCTCTCTCTGTGTGTATTACAAGAATCAGAAGCTCAAAATCCATACACGTGTGTTTTTAATAGATTCCAACCTCCCCGTATTGAGAAGCCTGCTTGCATCTCCTACGCTATTTCCTTTTGCTTTTTAGCATTACTGTGGAAGCACCCATTTTCACACTAATTTTAAAGATTTTGAGCTTTAAAAAGAACCCATCAAACATCAAACATCTATATATCTCTTTCTCTCTCTATATATATATACATACATTTGAATACAGGTGCCAAATTGGGTCTCCCTCTCTAAAAAAAATAAAAAAGGGTTTAATCTGGGTTTGACTACAGTGATTACACAGAGAGATGAAAGTGAGTTTTAGAGAGAGAAAACCCAACAAAAGACCCAGAAAACCCAAACTCAAACAAAGCCCCAACAAACTATTGCAAACACAATGGACTGCGATTCAAAGACTTACAGTGGTTGAGTGAAAGAGAAAGACTCCGAGTTATAGTGGTTTAGAGAAAGAGAAAAACTCCAATTTCGGTGGTGAAATTCGTCAGCATCGTATTGTCTTCGTCCAGATATAGAGAGAGAGAGAGCAGTACTGATAGAAAGTCCGGTAGGTGGTGTCTTCCGTTGTAGCCGGAGGGAGGTGTCTTCTGTTGTCGCCGGTGGGTGGTTTGAGAAGATGATGATAGAGAAGGAAGTGGATGATGGTCGGGTGAGACTGGGTGACACAAGGCGGCTGATGGGTCAATGAATGCTATTTTCCGTGCACAGTGTAGGAAGCTGAGAAAGTAACAAATTCTCACTTACGCGTTCTTTGTCAAATGTAAAAGTAGTTTCTAAAAGAATGAAAGTAAAATTATATTAATAAACATAATTTTTATTTTTTTTTTTTACATTTTAGGAATTGCTAGTGAAAAACAGGAATAATAATTTATAAACGAGACCTATCTATTCTATTCTCAGTTCTCTTGTTGTCCCATCTCCGCGAATTTAGATTTTTCCTCTAATCTTTTATTGAGAGGTAAAGGATTAAATCCTTTTAACAAATAAAGTTTTTGATTGCAATATGAATTAAACCAAAGGACCCCTTAACTATTAAGGGGTTAATAGAACGAATGACACTTTTACCACCAAACTATACCTGCTACAATCTGATTATTGTATACAAGTGGACTTTTTGTCTAACAAGGAAACAAAGAAATTTTGTTCTTCCCCACATCTCTTCCTTACAAAACATAAAGGGTTTTTTCGCAACAATTCTTTTTTAAAATTTTCAATTTGATGTGAAAAAAACCAATTATTTTTTTGTGGTGTGAATTGTTTCCAAACAAAAATATGTTGGATAAATTACACAAAGGGTAGGTCAAATATCACTTCTTTCTTCTTAAAAAAGTGAAATGTCATTTATGCCCTCACTTATTTAATATGTTCTAATAGAAAATATTAAATTTCTTAAAAGACAAGAGTGAAAGTGCCCCTAATTATTTCAACAAACATCTCTTACTTCTCTCTCCTTATTTTTGGACCAAAAAACCGTCATTACAACCTGCCACCTCATTAAATTATGGGTATTTATGTAATTTAGAAAAACCATCCTCTTCAAATATGATGATCAGGGCCGGCCATGGGCCCAGGCTGTTGCCTAGCGCCTACAAATTTGGCCCAACCTATATAGTTATGCAGCCCATATCAGAAATAAAAAGTTTGGGTTTATGGGCCCTTCGGCTGTAAAGCCACTAAATTTCTTAACCTATTTAAAGAAAAAATAAAAAGAAAAACGAATTGTGTTCTTGGTCTCCTGTCGCTCCTCGAAGGCTCGAAGTCGAAGGATAAGATTTGGGTTTGTGTTTGGCAGATTAGCTTCAGTTTCATCAGTAGCAGCGCCGAAAAGATTACAAGTAACTAACTCATCCAATAATTCCAATTTATGGTACTGGGCTCCTTTTTCGCCTTTTCCAATCTGAAATTGATCCCTTTTTTTTTTTTTTTTCCTTGATTCCGCGTGTTTATGGAATCTTTTATCTCCTTTTGATCAATTTGTATCTAATTTCATTGGTTTGATTATTGAATTTTGAAAATTTATGGCATGCTGGAAATAGAAGATTTACCCCTTCTTAGAACAAAAAAGGCAGGATAAATTGGATAATATAGCTGGCCACTTGTTACTCCACATAGTTTATTGCTTGAAATCATGCATGTTACAAGGCAATCATTCTGGCTTCATTTATATTAATTCTTTCTTTTCAAGGAATGTTGATTGAACCTTGCCTTGGACTTAAATGATTTTGCAGAGAAAACTGAGAAAGGGCTATTATATATATATATATATATTTAAACACTAATATATGAATCTATGAATGCTCACGCATCTTCCATGTTCTATCTCCAAAATCCCCGCTCCCGGATTTGGATATGCATATTTTGAATTTTAGAGGATAGGATTGAAAATTCCGTATATAAATATATCTACATATTTTATATATATATAAAGCAGCGCAGCCCTAATTACATTGGGGATTATCCTTTCTATGGTCTCTCGGCAGAAAGGACGAAACGATGGACGAAATGATGGAGGAGGATATCACTTTCCTGTCATTAGTAATCGAATCGTAGGAGGAGGATATCAGTTTCGAGACATCAGTACTTCTGGTAGTGATTTGCTGTGCGTTAACTGTGGTCCTAATGCTTTGGGAGATTGTATTCATTATAGAACTTGTACAAGCTTTCTTTAAAGACCCTCCTCGAAGCACAGGCTCTCTCACTGCCGGTTGTATTCTTGCATTTGTTTTAATTCTTATTGGTCTCCTAACTACCTACCCGTATTGCAAAGAATTTGTTGTGTTTGCACCAAAGTGCATCAGAAGGTTAAATGGTCTCCGTCATCACCACGAAGAGGACGCGACCACCAAAAAATTGCCCGAAGAAGAAGCTGACAAAGTATAAAAGTACGTGGGATAAATGTTTTTAATTATATGATCCTGTGTTGGCAATCAATCATTTTATCTCTATTAGGATTATTATTATTATTTTGTTTAAGTGACCTTTTATGGAACTTTTTCGGTTAGTTATTCTAACTTCACTTGAATTTCAATTTATATATGTATTTTTGTGACAAGTGGATAAATTAGTGTATTCCTTTTTTATTTTTTATTTATTTCAGGGGTTGCAAATAGCCCCCACAAACCTAATTAACCACATTTGTGTTTAAGCAGGCTTGTTGGTACATAGATCAAATATGTAAAGACGGCCTAGAGGACAGAAAAGTCACATATGAAACAAATAGAGCAGAGCAATCATCAATGGCACAAGCATAGGCTGTGATGTGTCCGACTCAGATTTTTTTATTTTTTAGCCATGTCCGTGCTTTCTAAATTACCATGGGCATGGGATAGTAAAGACTAAAGATTGAAGAAACAAGAAAGCCGAACTTGGCTGTTTTTGTTTGATTAGTTTGGAAGTATAGCTCAACATTGATTATAGTAAATTTGTTAAGAAATAGTCCTAAAAATTGTGGGTGGGTGTTTTCATGTTAATAAATTGTGGGGATGGCGACAGTTTATCTTTCCTTGGTTTTTATTTCACATTTAGAGCACATTTCTTAGGAGGAGATTTCTAGGGTTTCTTATCCTTGTGAGGTAGAGGGTGTGTTATGCCTTTAAGAGTTTAACCTATGGTTTCTTTGAGTTTTATGGGCATGTGGTGTGTTATGCATGTATAGTGTGAGTTTTGTGGTTTTAATACTATAGTGATGATAGTCATTGATAATGATGATTACATGATTTGTATTAATGAAATCCATGTTCACAATGTTCAATTGTATCATTAATATTAGTATATGTATTTGCCTTAGTGTCTATGCATGTGTATATTCAATTTTCACCTCTGTGAGTTTACTTTAATATTCCAAGTATATGTTCTATGTCTATTATTTGTGTTCCATGTATGAATATATCGTTAGAGGCATGCTTATGTGAAGCTATGTGAATTATTGCACCCTTTATG